TGGAGCCTCTGTCGCCTGCGAGTCCTCTTCACCTCCCACTGGCTCTCCCTCTTCAACTCGGCTTGTTTGACGCCGGCCTTGACAGTCGATCGCCAGAGTGTACGGTCGGCTGTTGCTGACTCAAGGTTTCCAGGGCTGATGTTGCAGGTCTTCAAGTCACGCTTGCAGACATCCTTGTAGCGCAGAGTTGGTCGTCCTGTTGGCCGCGTCCCTGTGGCGAGCTCACCGTACATGATGTCCTTTGGGATGCGTCCATCATCCATTCTGCATACATGGCCGAGCCAGCGCAGTCGCCTCTGGGTCAGCATGGCATACATGCTGGGTAGACCTGCCCGTGGTAGGACCTCTGCATTTGTGATGCGGTCTTGCCAGGTGATGCCAAGGAGTCGTCTAAGGCAGCACATGTGAAAGGCATTCAACCTGCGTTCTTGGCGGGAGTAGAGGGTCCATGTCTCACTACCGTAGAGAAGGGTGCTCAGTATGCAGGCTTGGTACACCTTCATCTTTGTGTTGATGGGAATTGTCCCAAACTCTCTTTTCGAGGCGAGCCATTGCCGTTGCTGCATTTCCTATCCGAACATTGAGCTCGGAGTCCAGGGATAGGTTGCTGGAGATACAGGAGCCAAGGTAGGTGAAGTTGTCGACTACCTCTAAGGCGTGCTCGCCAATGGTGATGTGTGGGGTGACGCTGACACCTTGGCCCATGATGTTAGTCGTTTTCAGGCTGATGGTTAGGCCAAAGTCATTATAGGCTTCCGCAAAGCGTGTGATGAGCCGCTGCAGTGCCTCCTCGGTGTGGGCGGTGAGGGCAGCATCATCCGCAAACAACATTTCCCTGATGAGAACTCTGCGCACGTTGGTCTTAGCACGGAGGCGGGCCAAGTTGAAGAGGTTCCCGTCGCTCCTGGTGTGGAGGAAGATGCCATCTTCAGACTCGCGGAAGGCATAGCACAAGAGAAGGGAGAAGAACACACCGAAAAGTGTCGAGGCCAGGACACACCCTTGCTTCACGCCGTTCTTGATTGGAAAAGGGTCTGAGGATGATCCGTCAAACTGGACTGTACCGTTCATGTCATCGTGGAAGGATGTGATCATCTTCAGGAGCTTTGGCGGACACCCAGTTCTTTCCAAAAGGGCAAAGAGACCGTTTCTGCTCACCAGGTTGAAGGCCTTGGTCAGGTCGATGAAGGCAAGGTAAAGTGGGCGTCTCTGTTCACGGCACTTCTCTTGAAGCTGTCTGAGGGAGAATACCATGTCGATTGTCGATCTCTCTCTGCACGGAACTCGCATTGCGACTCTGGGCAAACGCGGTCAGCCAGCAACTGCTTTTTGCTAAGTACGACGCGAGCAAAGGCCTTTCCTACGATGCTGAGAAGGGATATCCCACGATAATCGTTGCAATCGCTGCGCTCGCCCTTGTTCTTGTAGAGCGTGACAATCTTAGCGTCCCGCATGTCCTGGGGTATCGTGCCCTCCTCCCAGCATTGGAGCAGGAGATTGTGCAGGTGGCCGAGAAGAGAACTCTCACTTGCTAGCTTGACAATCTCGGGGGGAAGGTCGTCACTGCCTGATGCTTTGCCGCTGGCAAGGGACTTGATGGCTTTCCTCAGCTCGTCGACGGTGGGTGGTGTGTCAAGCTCTTCCATGGTGGGTAGGGTGGTGTTCTCGATGGCGGTGTTGGTGACAGTGGTCTCCCTAGAGTACAGCTCCTGGTAATGCTCCGCCCATCTCTCCATCTGTTTGCCGCGGTCTGTGATGATCTCGCCTGTGGTGGACTTGAGGGGAGCAATCTTGATGGTGCTAGGGCCAAAGGCTTTCTTCATGCGCTCATACATGGCGCGGATGTTGCCACAGTCCAAGGCGATTTGGATGCTGTGACACAGGTTGAGCCAGTAGTCATTTGCACACTTGCGAGCAATCCTCTTGACATTGTTGCGAGCAGCTCTGTAGGCAGCCAGTGTTTCCTTGGAGGGCTGTTTCTTGTGCTCGAGGAGTGCGGTGCTCTTGGCAGTGATGGCGGGCTCCATCTCCTTGATCCCCGCCTCGAACCAGTCTTCACTTTTTCTCTCCCACATTCCGAAGGCGTCTGAGGCTGCCTCATACATGGTGTCTCGGATGTAGTTCCATCGCGCTGTGGCACTGTCAGTTGGGCAGTCCTCTAAGGCTTTCTCCATGGTCTCGGCAAAGCGCTCATGCGGTCCTGGGAGTGAAACTCTGGCTGTGCCAATACAGGGGCGTCCTTGCTGTTTGGAGCGATGAATGCGCTTGGGCTGGAGACGCACCTTGCTGCAGACCAGGGAGTGGTCTGTGTCGCAGTCGGCACTGTGGCAGATGCGAGTGATGAGCACGTGGTTGAGCAGGGACCTCCTCGTGATGACGAAGTCCAACTGGTGCCAGTGCTTGGATCTGGGGTGTCTCCAGGACAATCTGTGCTGCGGTTTAGTGGAGAAGAAGGTGTTGGTGATGCACAGACCATGGAAAGTGCAGAGTTCAATAACCGCTGTCCGTTCTCGTTAAGCTTGCCCACTCTGAAGTGTCCTATGCATCGCAGCCATGAGTTGTGGTCTGAGCCTACCCGGGCGTTGAAGTCTCCAAGTAGGAACAGGTCTTCTTTCTGTGGGATCTCTCTGATCTTGGCTTCAAGCTCCTCGTAGAATGCATCCTTAGCCTCGGCTGTAGCGCAGAGTGTGGGGGCGTAGACGCTGAAGATGTTTGCTGGTCCAGAAGGGGTCGAGAGGCGGAGGGGGAGGATCCTTGCGGTCCCCTGAGAGGGAGGCTCCATTGAAGACAGGAGGGTGTTGCGCACTGCGAATCCGACCCCGTAGAGGTGGCACTCTTCTGGCTCGAGTCCCTGCCAGAAGAAGGTGTAGTCCTTCTCCTTGAGACTGCCACTTGCGGGGAGGCGTGTCTCCTGAAGGGCGGCAATGTCGACCTTGAGTTTGGACAGCTCAAGGTCGATGATGGCGGTTTTCCTGGCATCATGGATTTGCTGGAGGTCGTCAGAGAGGCCAGGACACATTGTTCTGACGTTCCAAGTAGCAAGCTGTAAGGCTGGTGATTTCTTGTTTCTTTGTTGTTTGCCTGGTGCGGGGGCTTTACAACCTGCCTGTCGGTTTTGCCTAAGCTCCAAGCACCCGATGGAGCAAGCAGGTTGTGGCGGGGTAACAACTCAATTGTCCGGGGGCTGCCCAGCTTGAGGCGGGCGTTAGCTACCCAATGGGGCTCGAAGACCCCTCCCACTCTCGAGAGCAACCCCTGGCGCCCGGCTCTACGCCAAACGAGCCTGGACTTATAACCGGTAGACTGCTGCTCTCCGTGTTGTGCCTACGCTGGTCAGCGAAGCTGGAGTGACCTCTCCAGGTGCAGGCCTGGGCAGAATATATGGAAATCCTGGTGTGCCCAGTCGCCAGGATCCCCCTCTCGGCGTTGCTGGTAGGGTCCGACGAAAAGGACGAGCTGATACGGTCGGTGCCAGCGCAGCTGCAGGAGTTGCCGGAAGGTTTCACGTTGTTCCACCAGCCGCCTACGGGGCTCTACTCCGGATTTTCTGTCAGGGTTTACTCCCATAGCCTTCACTTCTCCCAAAGCAACCACAAGGCAGTGGTGGTTCTGCGGCAGGTAGTACTGGGTTACAGGGTACCAGTAGCAGGCAAAAGATGTACCTGACCTGACTGACTAAGAATTGTAGGTTGACAATAGGAAGAATTACAAATTTGATCTGGGAGTTGAGGGGTTAATACCCTCCAAAACCGATTTTTATGGCAGAAGGGTTTAAATTTCACCGTCGTAATCAGCGTGAAGGCAAATCGATCGCTCAGTTTGTGGTTGAGTTAAAGCGACTTTCGTTGAAGTGTGAATTTGGGATGTTTTTGGAAGAAGTGATGCATGACCGACTTGTTTGTGGGCTAAGAAACGTGCCCATTGTTATGAGTAATTGTTTGGTTAATATAAGCTTCTAGGAATCTCCAGACTACTTAGTCACACTGACATGCGTACCATAGAACTTTCTAGAACATTTCATCAAGTCACGCAGTTATTACGTAATACTACTTATATAGTACATGTACCCAGATAGGCTTCTGGAATGTTCCAGAACACTTTGTAAACGTATATAAGGACTCAGTTATGTAGTAGTGTTTGTTGTTGTTGTCGGGAGTGACCGACTGTTTTGTAAGCTAGACAGTGAGAGAGAGCAACAGTGGAAGATTGGTAATTTCAAGAAACGTTGGAGGAAACTGCGAGTTCGGCTCAGTGGTGTGCTAAGATATAGACTGTAGGGGACTTAAAGAAGCTTATCGAGGATAAGTATCGTTGTGCCCTAAGGAGTCGCTCCTTATTAAGATTATTACTCGTTGTTTAATAACGTAGTTTAGTTTGTAGGATTGCAGTGTTTTCCTTTCGGTTAGATTTTACCGTAATAACACTCAAAATAAGTTGTTGGCAGAGAAAGATTTGACATTCGCAAAAGCATTTGAAAAGGCACAACCCAAGGAGTTGGCAAATAAGGAGGAGTTCCACGAAGTCAGAATTCCTCCTCGAAAAATGCGATGAACAAAACAAACCGTTTTCCAGTCCCAGGTGTCCAGGTTAGGGCTCAGGTGTTTGTTTTCGCTGTGGCCAAAACATCACCCACCGGAATCTTGGTGTAAAACAGCTCAATGTCTTAGATACCAGGAAAAGGGCCTTATCGCCAAGGTGTGTACCCAGTATCGTGAATCTCACTCCACGAGGTATGTTGAGAATGTCTCACTCACAGATACCACTGAAGGCACGGTGGATCTCAGTTTGTACATCCATAGATGGCGGTTAAGGATCCAGTGTTGCAGCTATACTTTTCACGCAGGCAAGAACTGTTTGTTTACTAAGGGTGTTTGTTATGGGGCTAACGAGTTCTTATTCGTAATGTGTATCTGGAACGCATACTGAATGATCTACATCAAGAGCAACATGGTACGTGCTGTATAAAGTCTCAAGCAAGAAGATTTGTCTGGTGGCCTGGAATGGTTGGAGCGATTGAAGACGGGGTCAGTGCTTCTCGTGTTTGTTCTTCTGTGGCCAAATCGCTGCCTAAAGCACCTTTACACCCGAGGAAATGGCCTGCGAAGCCGTGGGAGCGTGCAAACATTGATTTCTTCGAGAAGGACGAGCTGAATTTTCTTGCTGTTGTTGACGTTACTCCACATGGTTAGAAGTGATCCCAATGAGCTCCATCACCAGTTTGCATACGCTGCATATTTTGTTTGCACATTACGGTATCCCCAAAGAGGTTGTCTCCGACAATAGACTGCAACTGGCAACAGAAGAGTTCATTCAGTTTATGAGACAACAAGAAGGTGTCAAGTTCACACGTGTTCCGCGTATAAAAATGGAGCTGCAGAGTGTTCAGTGGAGAAAGCAAAACTAGCTCTGACTGAACTAAACAAGTTCTCGATTGCAAAGCAAGTAAATTTACTTTGAAACACCGGCTAATCAATTTCCTCACACTATCACATGGCGTTCTCCTGCTAAACTTTGTCTCGGAAGACAAATTAGGAACCTTTTTACATTGTTAAAACTGGATCTTCATTAAGCAATAGGGGAGCAATAAATCAAACAGAAGCAGCATCACGATGAGGGCAGAGTGGAGCTAAAGCTGCCGAAATTCAAGTTAAATAAAGTTGTTCTAGTTCATGGAGTTGCAAGGTGGATTAAACGGAGGATTTACCAGGTGAAAGGCTCATGCACTTATCTGGTCTATTGCGGGAACCACAAACCATTTGTGCATGCTTTTCACTTGAAGAAGACACCGTACTAATCTTCAAGTTCTGAGTTGGAGGAAAGAGTTTTGGAATATGGTCGAGATTTTGAGGAGGCTCCGGCTAACAATATGAGTGATCCGGGTGTTTCCCTTGCATTAAAAAAATTGGAAAATATTACGGCCGCGACAATGTGGTGAATTTTCCAGTTTCCTACGAGTTACCTGCAGGAGTGACAGAAATACTTCGCTTAGGAGAAAGGAGACCACGACAAAGACTTATTTGCGAACTTTGAACATTCTAAATTCTTTAGAGCGTTGAACTTGCTTCTTTATGTTGACACGTTAGTTAGCATGTAACCTCTCTTACTTGTTTGGGGTGAAGTGTAATAGACCAGGATCCAGACCCCTTTGCATTTAGGGGGTGTAAGTACATGCAGTTGACATTAAAAAAGTGATGAGCACTGCGATGACCGGGGATCACCAGGATAAGCTAACCGCGATGAACCACAGTATGATTGCAGTCGCTCTGACACTATCATGATTTGTATAAATATATGCTGGTTTTTCATATTTTCATCTTTCCTGCTCTGTTCTGTCTTGTTTTCGAACACGAAACTATATATACTACACGGATGTTAGCTGTGTTTGAGCTTTATTACCGTAAGTAAGCTTAGAATCTAACTGATCGTAAAACCTTCAAAACTCGGGCGGTCCATTTCGTTTTCTTTTTGACGATTTTCGTCTATGATCACTTTATGATAACTTCAATTACTGCGCTTGGCATCGTTACAAAGCTTTGTTTGGTTCTTCTTTTGCTATTTCCGGCTCGCTTGTTCCGAAATCTCACTTTCAAATTAGAGAAGTCTGAGAAATGGTTAGACATTGCACGAATTGGCAGAGGGCGTGGCAGCTTTAGCTCAGCTCCGTGTTTTGTACTCTGATAAAACACGCTCTTCCAACGAATGACAGCGCACGTTATATCCATACTTGATTATAAATTTATGTTTGTAAGGTAATCGATATTATTTGGGGACGGCTGTGGTCTTGAAATTAAACTAGGGAATTAATTCGAAGGACATTTCCTGCAAACTAGTCATGGAACAAAATGAAATTAGATTACATACACATTCAAAATGCTGTTGTTCCTAATTGACAAATGCTGCTGCTTACAATCAAGGAAGTAATTGGTGGTCATCTTTTAAATCATGGTTCCCTTTTTTGAATAATTCTGACAGATGTGATAATAATGGTAAGTATTGTAGCTTATAAGTTGAAAGAGATTCCAGCATGGCAAAGTATTTTGGCTGAAAAACCTGCCGTGTTCAGCAATCATTTGCTTCGTTCTATGTTGCAAAACGTTCTCCTTTTTTTAGGGCAGCTTTCCCTGGTTAAGGAAGATAAGAAGTTTTCCCTCTCTGTTTATCATTTGAAAGCAATCCTTTGTAATTTTTTTGGGTATCTTAGGGTTTTGTATTACCTTTCGGGCATCACGATATGAGTGTGCAAACTTCGCGTTCGTAAGATCTGCAATTGTTGGTGATCTCTAGCTGTAGGAAATGGCACCTTCACAGAGGCCTTCAGTTGCAAAATTTAAGTGGGGGATGCCTTTCCCCTCCCAGAACCTCCAGAAGCTTGAACCCATGGTTTTCATAGCTGTGACTTTATCCCACCCAGTGCCTCTGTTTTGCATGTTAAGGATAGGAATCTCTGATTATTTTGATCACATTCTGAGAAACAACTGGTCTGTCTGTATGTGTGAGCTAAAGAAAGGAGATTAACTAACCCTACTTACAGGTGTGTGACAATGGTAGGCACCATGGTCCATGAACCATCATTTGGATCATTCTTCATTAAATCATCGACTAATATTTATCTTTATTTATCCTTTTATTAAGGTAATATGTCTCTTAATCTATTAGGGAATAGCTGTTATGAAGTAAGCGTTATGCCACCACAGATTTCTCTGAAGGTAAAAGAAAATTTTAATTTTGTGACCTTTTATTGATGTTCCATCCGGGTCAAATCCAAACCAGATCGATGGAGGTCCGTGAATTGTATAATTTAGCCAAATAATTCTTAAACTCTTTTTTTATTCGATCTGAATTTGAAGCGTTTCATTACACATGATGAAATGGATTTCTTTCTTTTCCTCCGGACTTTTAAGGTGGTAAGACGTTTTTATGATAGTGAAATAATAGACTATAAAAATCTGCATGCCCTTTTTTTCACCTCCTCAGTATGGGATTATTCTGTTCCCCATAACAATCTCTTTGAGCTCGAGCTCAGATGACAGCCGTACTTGACTTACTAGGAACAATTGCATCTATTTGTTTTGTTGTATAAGTTTCAAAACTTTTGAAACCCCCATCTTGAATGGAAACAGAGCAGATTACGAGCCCTTTAAGTCACCGGTACCTTCGAGAAACGGCCCCATGGGACGCTAACATTACCCGCAAACTTTCTAGGTCATAGTTCGAACCGTCTTTCTTTCTTTCTTTCTTTCTTTCTTTCGAAAACTTGCTCAGCTTCAGATCAAGTTCTCTGGCGTCGTAGCTCAAAATATCCGGACTGAAACCTTTTTCGTCAGCTCAGGTTGACCAAACTGTAATCAAGGTCTCCGTGCTTTTCTTATTGTTTTCATTTAAGTTGTAGCCGTTCTTTCGCGTCACGATCGGGAAATCTTTCCGCCATTGTTTCAAAATTAGAAATTATTTAGTATGTCAAATTTGCCCGAAATACTACACACATTTCACATTTTAGAAATTTCTCAGCTTTTAGTATAATTGTGTGACTTCTTGCAGTAGAGAAAATATTTTGAAAGTCCTGCGTCTTCAAAAACGTGCGGCTAGAATAATTATTGATGCCAAAAGAACAACACCTTCTGTCGGCTTATTTAACTCGCTGAAGTGGATTCCCTTTTATGCTGAATCATATTTAAATCGATGCACTTTAACCTACAAAAGGCTGAGTGGCAATAACCCTGAATATATAAATGATTTACTTATCACACATCATAGATCAACTCGTCTCTGTAATCTTAACTTAAGTTGCCCTCGATATAAGAGAAGTAAGGAAGGTGGTCGAAAGTTTGCTGTGAGAGCAACAAAGGAATGGAACAAACTAAGTGTGGACCTCAAACGGAGTACTAGTGTCAAAAACTTTAAGCGTTCCCTTTTTTAAAATAATTTTAAATAATCAAATTCTTACGCAATTATAATATGTAAATTTTAAAATCTGTATGTAACCACATTTTCTAATCTCATTTTGCGACGTACAAAGGCTTAAATACTATTTTAATTACTGTTAATATTGTTACAACAATTGCTATTAATTCGTTTTGTTTTTTTGAGGGCCATTAGGTTATCAGTTTTATTACTGGCAAATGTTACCCTCACTAAATAAAGTCTTACCTTGCCTTACCTTACATGAACTTTAAGGTGATTTTGTAGTTCTTCCTTAATAGGGTGGAGGACCTTGCTGGTTCACTTTTAAACCTGACCTACCCTCAGACATTACTTCTGGAACTGCTAAGTTTGCTAATCTAGGCTTTGTTGATTTGGATGGAGTTAAACACAAGAAAAACTGTCTTGCTGGAGTAGGAATTCCTCGTAAGTAAAAAGTTGGCTTGAATTTAGTCAAGTATTGAAATACCCTTGATCTTAAAGCTTGATAAAAAAATTGAAGAAAATTGGAAGGCCATGTTAGAAATGTTAGCAATTTATGGGCATGGACGTCCTCTATTAAATACCGTAGCTGAAAACCTCTTTTTGTTAAGGCAAGTTACTCAACCACTTCGTTACGAAAAACCAAGCAGGCAAGTGATTGCATCTACAGTGTAAGTTCGCTTTTCTCAGATTTGATACTGACACAGCTGGAACCTACGGGGCTCGCAGCGAAATGAATTTTGACTTAACAAAGTGTCTCTAAAACTAACTAACAGATTATGACTGATTCGAAAAATTTTAACACAGCCCATTTCATGAGACCCAAAAGGTTTTAATACAGATCTTTCATATCTGAGACTGACACAGAACGAAAGCTTGACACGGTTTGTTTTTCATAAATCCACATTTTGTTAGTTTGTTTTCAATGCTGTGAACAACTGCCTTTGAATGAAATGATAGTCATAACATCATTGTTTTGCATAGTAGTATAAATGGTGTCAAGATGTTAATTTTGAATCTTCCAGCTGCTGAGCAGGAAGGTCTGATCACTGTAGAAGTGCGTGGAAAAAGTGACAAGACTGGCAAATCAAGTGATCTTGGCCAGACAAAATTTTACTATTTTGATGAATGCAAAAAGGCTCTCAAGCAATTAGTCCAATTTAAAGAGCTGTATGACTCCTATTTCGAAGCATGGAATGCTGCTTGTAAAGGGCACCCCACTGATGGCAGCGAAAAAGAGACGAAGTCCTCTGGTTCAGGTAAAGGGCACCCCACTGATGGCAGCGAAAAAGAGACGAAGTCCTCTGGTTCAGGTAAAGGGCACCCCACTGATGGCAGCGAAAAAGAGACGAAGTCCTCTGGTTCAGGTAAGCACGAGAGACCCCTTGACATCTTTTATCGGTCTCAAGTAAACGTTGAATTTGTTGTTAAAAAAAAAAAACGTAGAAGACTTACGTAGAGGACTATTGGAATACATATAGTTTGTGTGGGTGTCTTTGCGAGATGCATGTGACTGTAAATAGGTTTCCTTTAAAAGACACCTCTTACTGACCGATTTCGAGGTCCGTATAGTAAGTTAGGGACCGAGATTTTTCCGCTCAGATTTACTTTGGATGGCCCGCGCGCTTCGTGTGCTTGGGTCACAAATCTGGGCGGAAACACAAGTTTCCGTAACTTACAGCACGGACCGAGAAAACAAGGTTTGTAAGATATTTATTCTATCTCTGGGTCTAAATACAAGGGAGATTTCAATTCAAACAAACTTCTAAATTTGGCAGGCCGTACAAAGAAAATTTTCGCTACAACAAACATACCTCACAACAACGCACAAGCCCTAAATTGAATTGAACCCTCATTTGTCTAGAGATTAGGGGTAAATTGTCCAATGATCGTAACGAATTGTCCGGATACAGTTTTACCATCATATTACATCAAAGGTCTTTCATCAAAATTCCTTTCACAGGGAGCATGAATTCAGGGAATCCTTTACATTCACTTCAAGGCTTGCTGTTGTTGATGTATACAGCAGCAGAAACTGATGCTAGGCAGTTCATTGAGTTAGTCCTCAACTCGTCGGCTGGCAAAGTGGTCTTCAACGCCTACAGGTCTACCTCTCCATTACCAGAGGATGTTGCGAGAGCATTTGGCCACGAAGATACTGCGCAGTACCTTGAGTCCATAAGTAAAAGGTACCGTGTATATTTCCGTGAAATACTCATTTTATACTGTGGCATTGAAAATACACCGATTATAATAATGTGATGATAGGGTAAGGGGCTTTCCAAATCAAAAATCCCAGTTGGAGCTGAGGCTAAGCGTGACTCAAGTTCTAGAAAGCAAAGAGGGCTCAATTTTCACTGTGCTTTTTTTTACCTTTGCATAAAAGTGAACTGATTGGCCCCATGAATTATTTGGTGTTTACTTGACCTTTATGTAACTTTATAATAGACTAGATCGTCATTTCCACTGTACTTTATATTTTGGGTGCTTTATATTTTGGGTGCATCGGGGTGTATTGAATCGCAGCAAGAAAAAAAAATGGGACCATTATTCCCTCTTGATCGCAGTTATTCAAAACCATAACAAAATTCTCGAACGTGATTGCTTATCACCATCCCAATTTGCGCACTAAGAGGACAGTGTAAGCGTCATACTTGTAATTGGACAGTGTAATAGGACAGTTGAAGGGGCAGTTCACACGTCATGCCTGTGTAAGTGGACAGAACGCATCATGTGCACGAGCTGTTGTCTTGTATATCGTCGAGTTAATTTTTTTTTAATGAAAAAGTACAACCGATGTCTAGTCTCTTTCTCAAATTTTGTCATAGTTTTGAATAATTGGTGACAGGACTTCGTGTCGTCCAATATTAACCCTCATATGATTACAGACCGAACTGGACTTCATTCCGTCCTATCACCACTATTACAAAAAAAAATACTGGACTTACCTCAAAATACAGGCATCATAGGTTACTGAGACAACAACTTTAGATCCCACCAAGGACCAAATATAAATAAAACCAGCCATATTAAGTGGACATTTTTCTCAGAGTTGTGCAGTACGAACAATTTTTTTATCAGTTTTTAGCATTAACTGGAAAGTGAACCCAACTGAGATTTGTCTCTTGATTAGCTTGTTGGTAATAAGAAGTCTGAATTTGATTTTTTTGCTTAGATTGTCTCAAGATTTCAGCGCCAATGAAGAACACTTAGAAGCAAGTCATGTTTTAGAGCTTGCTGATGCAGTCAAAAATCAATCAAGTAAGTAAATGAGATAAGGCTTTCTAATTTCTTTAACGAGGGGCCACCATAATGCCCTTAAGCTTATTTCGAAGGTTCCCAAAAAAAATCAAAGGAAACTGATAATATATATCTCTAAAGAAACGCTCACCACTGCGAAATTGCGAGGACTTGAGGAAATTACAGTGAGAGAATTCTCCCATTTGAATTTAGAGATGCTTCTCTATACACTTCATTAAAGCAAATCCTGGTTTATTAGGGAGACGCGTGCCAAACTGCAAAAAATGGCATTACATGGCAATAAGTCCATCTGTGAGTTAAAGCCAACTTGACCATGATCGCCAGATTTGTTGATAGGGCATATTGAACCTCAAGCTACAATTATTGTTTTCAGTCTTATTTTGTGCATGTAATTTTAAGTTATCTCTATGTATTTCGGTTTTACCAAATCGCTGTTTGCAAATTTCGAAAGAATCGTAATATAGTCATAATTGATGGGTGACTATTTGTTTATTAGTATATATTAAAAAAGTGATAAAATACAGCACAAAAAGATGATTTAACCCATTTATTCCTGCAGCGTTTTACAATAACCTGGGTCTTGTACACAGTCAGCTGGGTGACCTTAATCAGGCAAAATATTATCACAATCGTGCACTGGCTATTGGGCTGAAAGAGCTCGGACCTGACCATGTTGATGTCGCAACGTCTTACAGTTATCTGGGTCTTGTACACCGTGAGCTGGGAGACCTTAATCAGGCAAAAGATTATCACAATCGTGCACTGGCTATTATGCTGGAAACGTTCGGACCTGGCCATGTTAAAATTGCAGCGTGTTACAATGATCTGGGTCTTGTACATCGTCATCTGGGAGACCTTGAGCAAGCAAAAGCTTACCACGATCGTGCACTGCCTATTATGCTGAAAGAGCTCGGACCTGACCATGTTGATGTCGCAGCGTGTTTTAATGATCTGGGTCTTGTACTCCGTCAGCTGGGAAACCTTAATCTGGCAAAAGATTATCACAATCGTGCACTGGATATTATGCTGAAAGAGCTCGGACCTAAACATGTTAATGTTGCAGCGTGTTACAATGATCTGGGTCTTGTACATACTCACCTGGGAGACCTTAAGCAGGCAAAAGATTACCACGATCGTGCACTGGCTATTATGCTGAAAGAGCTCGGACCTGACCATGTTAATGTTGCAGCGTCTTACCAGGCTTTGGGTCTTGTACACCGTGAGCTGGGAGACCTTGATCAGGCAAAATATTATCACGCTCGTGCACTGGATACTATGCGCAAAGGGCGCGAACTTGACCATGTTAATGTTGCAGCGTGTTACAGTGATCTGGGTCTCGTATAGCGTGAGCTGGGAGACGTTAAACAGGCGAAATCTTATAACGATCGTGTACTGGCTATTAAGCTGAAAAATCTCGGACCTGACCATTTTCATGTTGCAGCGTCTTACAATGATCACGAAAGTGAAAAATAGAATCAAAACCTATCACTTACTGTCAGAACGTTACATAACTTGTAAATATCAACTGTTACTGTTTGAAAATTAGATGAATTTTTTATGTCAAATGTAAGTTTTATTCTAGACGGATGGTTTCTCTCGAGTCATTTAAGTTCAGTTACTAGTTTTTGTGTCTTATAAGACTTGATATCGAAGTTATGCTTTTAACTTTTACCATTATCCATAGTCTAAATTATTTATAACAGGAACAATCCTAGCTAATTTAGGGTGCTGTAGGTTGTGTAATTTTTGATTAAAGACGATGAACTCTGCCCAACCTTCAATTAAGTCAGGTGATTATTAAAGGAGTTTAAAGATGGCGTTTGTGTCGTTTGTTTTGGTTTTTCGTGGTTGGTACGGTTAGAAAAACATGCACCCTCCTATGATTCCGGTTTACGAAAACGCTCTTATCCGAAGAATCCGTATCAGTATCTCTTTCAGAGCTGGATACTCCATTTGCTGGTCATTATAATACATATAATAGAGCAGTGGTTTAAGCTACGTCACGTAAGCAGCATAAAAAATCGTTTCTTTGAAGACCCCTTTGTAAAATCCAAGCTATGTCACAGCTTGGCCACTCAAAAACTCCAGTTTCCCTAAACATCGAAAAAATTTGTTCTTTGAAACAATAAAATGCCCAGGCAACTCCGAGATGGGTTTTAAAAGTTTGTGTCTTGTAGCGTATTCACGCTAAGGCTTAAGACTTGAGGCAAATAGAGCCTGGCGCAAGATAGAGGAGATCGGGAAGAGCTTGCGCTTGTCTCGTGCTAGCACTCCGTTAGCCTGAGAAAACGTTAGTCCCCTTTGCAGCTGTTCTTTAGCTAACGGGTGCATGCAAACCAACTACATTCCTTTCTCATTGATTGGCGGAGGCCATGCGTGACATTCCAAAGAACGGCTGCGAAAGAGTTTAAAAAATGCGCAAGAATCGGAAAAAAAGCGAATGACACCTCTTCTGGGGGTAACACCCTCCCAGATCCTAAGTATAGAATAGAAAATTACAACTTTTCTCTTCCTCTCCCCTCTTGGTATTTTTGTATTCGAGCGTGGCGCGTTTGATTTCACAATTGACATTCAAAACTGACTTGAACATTTAACGCGTACTTTTTTTGTTTGTTTTACGGAGTTGGTTTTAGTTGTTTTGAGATTTCTTTCGCACAAATTTTTCACCCCTTTGTTTGGAATTTTAAGTAGTTTCGGAGTTAAAATTTCATAATTTTCTACAGAGTTTATACTTTTTTAAAAAAGGGATTTTACAGTTATTTCACAAACTTCAATGGGGACCAAGAAAACCCCGACGGCGACGGCAACGAGAACGTAGCGAAACAGAAAATCTTATGAGCAAAACAATAGCGAAACACGTGCGTTTTAAAACTTTGTACATTTCTTAGCCGTCCCGCACAGAACAAAAACTTGAAATCGCCAACGCTTATGTCCTCATCATCTTCATCATCATCTTTTATTTGCCTTATTTACACAATACAAAAAATTTATTTACAGCAGTCATAGCTAAAAGGCGAGGAGACCCAGGAAGCCACCGGGCTTTCCTTCTGGTAAGGAAACCTCGATAGCAATTTACTCACACTTTGGTCAAAGTAAAAACAGGCAAACCAACCATGTCGTGATTGGTTTTTGTTTAGGGTCGGATTGGTTTAGAGGATGACGGGAGTTTTCTGGACTTATCGCGGACCTAGGTAAAGCACAAGTAAATAATTCCGGATTACTCCCGACGCTAGTATATGGTCTTTGATATTCAAATCATGTACTGATGCTCAATAGCCCGCGAGTACGCTCTTGTGGATACAGCAATAAGAGCGATGAAGCCTGCGTGTTTCCAACTGGCAATGAGAGGGGACGAAAGGTCTCCCTCGTATACCTCTGGCGCCCTCGAACGCGCAAGCTCCACTCATGTCGCTGCCCCAGTGTGAGCTTTGCTTACAGGCTCAGTCTACAATCAGTCCATTTCTTAATTAGTTTAAAGAATAAAAGACTGCGGCAGAGCACAAATCGAATCAATACAGCGGCCTGAGTTGGATTCCTTTTTCTGGTGAGCATTGAGTTTAGCGCATTTTTGGTTTTCTTGCCTTTGGGAATAGGTTTTCAGATTCTACTCGCTGACTTAAATTTTTTAAGGTATCATTTTTCTTTATTCTAATTTGTTTTATTTTTGGTTTTTTATTCCTGTCATCATGTTTTTTTTTCCGAATAACATGCGAGCAACTAAAAAATTATCAATAGAAGAAATCACACCAACCCTTCTCATAACTTCATTCAGAAGACTGACCGTGAGATAACGGAATGTTTAATTTGCATTGCAAATATGTTGACACTCAATTGATATTCATTTCAGCTGTGTAAGAAACTTTGAACGGAGAGCTCCGAGCTCCCGTTGCCCATTTGGCTTAAAATTACGCCTTTTGGTGAGACAAATCGTTTCGTAACAAGCGTTAGGTAGTTCTAATGCCAGTCAGTTGAACCCCTGATGTTGGCCGGCCTTAAATATCGGTTTTGGAGGGAAAAAAACCGAAGCACGTGGGTGACCGGACCGCGACCACAAACCAACTGACTAAGACGTGAAGTAACAGAAGTTCGTGTCTTTCCAGAGCTCAAGTAAGTTACTTAGTTTCATTCTCCTACACTCTATAAATGTTATCAACAATTCAGTGCTCTTTTCAAGAGCCTCGACTAAATGTTAATAGACATAATGGGTCGATGAGCCTATCTCGCCTTTCATTCACTTCTTCTAATTTGTCGAGAATAAATTATGACTGATCCTTAAACCAGGATCTCGATCTGCCATAGATTTGCTCTGACAATTGCTCTTGGCCATGGTCTTGCATTTTGAGTCCATGTTTTAGTTTCTCCTCCATCCTTAATCTGCCGGCCGTGCGGGATCCTTTTGGTATTAGAACCTGTTTTAGCTCTTTAATAGGACATCAAAAACTTACATAAAGAAGTCAAAAGACAGAAACACAATAGCTAGATTAAGAAGCTGAAGTTGTTTAGGATGCGGCGATCAAATAAAATCGCCTGGTGTGTGGCCGGCTTCAGATCTCTTATTTACGGACCAAACAAAAATCTCAGTGCAGGTTCTATTTCAGAGGAATGACCTCAGGGATTGGTCTTTATTTACCTGCTGGAGGGGCGGGGGGCAGGATTTTGGGAGCGCATCATAGATTTTTTTTTTGAAAATTGACAGCAAATGAACTACCAATGAGGGGGGGAGGGGAGGGGGGAGAGAGTCATGAAAAGATTTCAGAGCCTTCGTGGGGATCAGGTAAATTTTATGGTGACAATCAGAATCCTCCGACCCCCTACTGGCTCGTGCAATTTTTTTGTCTTTAAAAATTTACTCATGCTTATTAACACCAAAGTGCACTCGATATCACGTTGTTACCTCTACTAATAAGTTAACTTCCGTGTTTGATCAAATTTTTTCCAGTCTTAAAGCTAACGTGGCACATCGAAAAGGTTATCAAAGCCATGTAGAAACATCACGGAAATTACTACTCCTTGAGGCGGGAAATGAATTTGAATCATACCAAAAAAAACAACACTGCAATAATTTTCGAGAGTTCTTCATCCGAATTAGATATCCGGTGATAAAATCCCGTGTATTTCTCCACTTCTCCCCAATCCCCCACTCCCCGATTCCCCACAAATCCCCTCTTCCCACCATATCCCTCCTCCCCAAACAAATCTTCATTGTCATTTTCTTCAACGTTATATTTACACTGTTTGGATTTTTTTCATGTGGATCACCCACCTGGCGATCAAGAAAGAAGAGAGAAATGGTTATGGATCAGGAACAAGCTTATGAAATAAACTTCATATTCAGGTTAGCTTGTGATTTTATTACGTGTGTAGGTTATTGTGCAGCAGAAATATTTTGCGGGAATTCATTTTGTGGATTGGCGTTTTTGCTTTTTGTTTTATCCTGTTTCATTGTTTCCTTTCTTTTCAACAAAAATGATAAAAAAAAATCTCCATTCTACGTAATTTGTAAGTTTTTATTTTGATTTTTTTCCTCTTTTTTATCTGGTTTGGTTTGTTTTGTCTTTTTTTAAATGATTTCTTTTCTTACTTTTTCATGGAAACAAATTTTTTCCGTTGGATATGACTGAAATTTCTGCAGTTAAAGCGATTTTCTGCTTAAGAAGCCGAACAGAAATAAGAAACGCTACGTGTGTAAATTTTTAAACCTTCCGAGTTATACAAAGAGGATCGACTCAACCAATGAGGAATATTTCGAAGGAGTCAAATTCGAGTAATATGACATGACACTTGATTCCCATGCACAGATTCTCGTTTTACTGAGAGACTGGTCATTATTTATCCTCTGGGAGGGAGGGTCGGAGGTTTCTGGTCACGTCACAATAAAACTTACCCGATCTCCCTAAGGGCTCTGTAGTTAGTATTCTAGTGATTCTCCCCCCCCCCCCGATTGGTGGTCAATTTTCTATAGTTCCCCCTTTATTCTCTTCTAGCGATGACTAATCCCCCTCCGGTCCCCCTGAAAACCATGTGACCCCCCTCCCAAAAGTCATCCAATCCCTCAGATAGTTCTAATTTCAGTATTTTCTTTTGCGGGAAGTTATAATTTCGAATCGTGGCCAATCCACAATTGGATTCGCATAAATATAAAACTCGCATATAATATTCAGGCCACACGTCACCCAATTGGAAGTTTTTGCCCTTCTCTGAGACACACATGTTCCGCCCCAATAATAAATATGGCATATGACTATTGAATTTTTCCTTAGCCCCTTCTTCGTTCCCCCTTAAAACCATGTGCCCCACCCCCTCCTCCACTCCTTCCTCCCTGGTGATAAATAAAGAATAGTTCCTTTAAAAAAGATTAGCATAAATGATGTTTTAAAGTAATAATTAATAAAAGCTTTTTTAAAGCTTTTGTTTAAAGTAAATAAAAACAAACATTAATGGAAAGAATCCTATGAGAATAAAGCTAAATTTGTTTCCATGGCAACCCGTAGAGTGGACATTACACTCCCCCTTTTCGATCTAATCAGGACAGTAACTTGAGAACTGCGGTTATATTAATGTAATGCACAAGTATAATCCTGACTGGGCTTCGCAAATTTTCAAATCTTTTCGACTTGAAAGTTTTGTGTTTGAGCGTGCACGAGTAACTTTCGTAGCGAAGATAAATTTATCGATAAAAATATCTGGAATTTCGAGGAAATATGGTACAAACAAAAAGAAACTAGTTGAGCTTAAACTGAGTGCTGTTTACAGAAGTTTTTCTTGGTGTTACAGAGATTTCTATTATCGAAGGAACAGACACCTTGTAGTATTGATA